TCTCTCGTAAGACACTTATCCAAATGGAACGGAACTCAAATATATATCGAAAGTACTAATTTAATAATAAATAGACACACACATCGGAAAATTAAAAACTCGGATTTTTTGGCGCCGATTGCGAATTCCCATACACAAAAAGTAGTAGTCCACCTTGACTTACCGAAGTATCTACCAATAGTACCAAAATCCGGAATCCGGGAGAAACCGGAATCCGGATCCGGCGGATTTCGCATAAGAAAATCCGGATCCGGATCCGGTTGGAAAAAACGGATCCGGCACACCCCTAGTCATCTCATCCTGAAGGCTGCTAATACGCTGCCCGTGATTGGTCATCTCTATTTTGACTACCCCTCCTCTTTTTTCGTATGCAAATGCTCTTATTAATGGTGACTGATTTGCGCTGAGTAAAGTGAGGGCTAGTGATTATTTTTTTTTTATATTATAAGACGGACTTGTTTTGGCTTTGCGGTATTGCTGGTTGTAGGATCATTTTGTTTAAAAAATGGCAGGACGACCAAGAAACAATAACTAAAATTGTTGATGCAACAGGCATTTTAAATGATGCAGCATTTGGTTTAAACGCACACCTTGTGGGGCAACAAATAACGTTAACACAACTGGAATTTCTCCTAAGGCGCTCGTAACAATTTCAATGTGGCTTGTAAGCTGGGTTCGTATGTCAAGTATGTGAGCTCCCTATAATTACCGGGATCTGCATATCACCCGAAATGGGATCTCACCCGAAACGGATCTCACCGGGATGGGTATCTTACCCGGATCGGGATCCCACCATGACCAGGATTCTATCGGAATCACATCGGGTTCGGGATCCCATCATGATCCTTCCGGGTGCCATCGGAAAACGGGAAAAACTAAAAGTTTACATAAGTTATTTTAAGTGTTTTTATAGGAGACAAATTAATTATTATTATTTTTTTTTTTACTATAGTGTTGTTGTTTTGACATTTCGTTTAATAGCAATGTGAACTAAAAGGACGTAGCAGATGTTTTTTTCTGAAACTGATAGTAAAGTTATAAAATAAATACATCATTTATTTTAACTAGATTCATCCAATTGGGCAACTTTTATAAAGTATCTTTAAAGACAGAAGAGTTATCCTTGATTTACCACAACGGCTCCGTAAAATACGAAAGATTCATAAAAATGTACTTTTTTATCTCGTAAAATTTGTTAAATTGTTGTTGTATTCCAATAAAAAGATGGTAAATAACTTTTAAAATACTTTTTATAAAGCATTAACATAAGTTTACACGGGAAAATAAGAGATTCAAACAGAAATAATATACGCACCTGAACTGCACTTTTACAGACTATAGGCTATAGTATAGGTCTTGGAGGTTCCCCAGGTCAACTACTGGCCATAATTCCACTTTTCAAACAGATTTAAAATTTTAGTTCTATAATAGACTGTGACTATGTTAGTATGTGACATGCCTATTGCCAACTATTGCCCACTCATTATTGGATTGCAAATTGTTCTGCTATAAAGTTTTTAAGGCATTTCGTAGTGCTGAAACTACTTCATCATCACACCTCACACTCTCCGCCTCTAATTCTCACTTAGCTACCTACGGAACTGGTTATTAGTAAATTCTAAAAATAGAAGTAA